TTTTAATAAATATTGATGAATTCAAAAAAAATAAAATGCAGCTGATATGACGTAACAAAATATACTGATAATATATATGTTTTGATTTTAAACTACTCAATGTCTTAATATATAAATAAATTATTTAAATGTATTATAATAAATAAACATTTAAATTATCCTGTTAATTATAAGTTAGCATTATACAGTTAAACAAAAACTAAAACTTTATTTTAAACAGTTATGCAATTTTTTTTAAATTATTAAAGATTTGCTTTTGAACACTTGGCCAACTTCAAATGTTCTCTTAGTTGTTTACCTAAGCCATCGTCAATTTGAGTGAAATGATAAATTGCTCTTTCCTAAAAATAATAAAATATAGAATAAAACATATTATAATAATATATTATAGCATAAACAATTAAACTGTTAAAAAAGAAGTAAGTACTTGTAGAAAATCAGCTGCATGTTTTAAGTTATCTGTTATATTTTCAACCAATCTAATTTGTTCATCTTTAGGTAAAACATTTCTATAAAGTAAACCTGCCTGGGTATAGTTGTCATCATTGCTTGAGTCATATCTGTAAGATAAAATAATGAAATAAATACATATAACATTTTATAAATAATAATGTACATAATTGTATTTACATACTTGGCAACAGCTCCAGAAACATTGAATGACGACATATTAAAGTGAGGTTGCTGTTCTGGTCCAGAAAAACTATTGGGATAATAGTTTGGTGCAGATCCTTGATTATTATAAGCTTGAGGTCCATCGCGCTGATAGTTTGTGACTTTAGTTCGGTACGGACAATTCACAGGCAACTGCAAATAGTTTGCTCCTAAACGATGACGATGTGTATCACTATAAGAAAACAAGCGTCCCTAAAATTCAAAAATAAAACAGACAACAGTTAAGTATAAAATATAAATATAGAAAATAATATTGACAAAAAATGTAATATAATAACCTGAAGAAGTTTATCAGGGCTAGGTTCGATACCAGGCACCATGTGCGCTGGGCTGAAAGCAATTTGTTCAATATCAGCAAAATAGTTAGTAGGGTTACGATTCAACACTAGTTTGCCAACTGGTATTAATGGGTAATCCGCATGAGACCAAACTTTTGTAATATCAAAAGGATTGAATTTATTAGCATCAGCTTCTTCAAATGTCATCACTTGTATATACAAGGTCCAAGTAGGATGGTTGCCATTAGCAATAGCATTGAATAAATCACGGTTTGAATAATCTGGGTCATCAGCAGCAAGATCACGAGCTTTTTTAACATCCAAATTTTTAATACCTTGATCAGTCTAGAAATAATTGATACAAAATGTTTAATTACATTTAATTAATATTAGATATATATATTAATTTGATAATATACCAAAAATTTATTAATAAGCTATTATTKTTACCTTGAAATGAAATTTAACATAAACTGCCTTATCAGAAGCATTGACCATTTTAAACGTATGAGATCCATATCCGTTCATATGACGATATCCATCTGGGATTCCACGATCTGAAAACAGTATCATTACCTGGTGTAATGACTCAGGACGAAGAGTCAGAAAGTCCCAAAACATATTTGCATCCTAAAAATTATTTTTATAATATAATTCTGATACTAATCACATTGTATATTAAATTGTGTAACCTTTAAATGGGTAACTGGATTTCTCTTTTGGGTATGAATAAAACTTGGAAATAAAATTGGATCTCTTATAAAAAATATTGGTGTATTGTTTCCAACTAAATCCCAAATTCCATTTTCAGTATAAAACTTTACAGCAAAACCTCTTGGGTCCCTAAACAAATCATAAAATATATACCATTATACATTATATGTATATCAAACATGGGCGCAAATAGGGGGGGCTTGGCGAGGGAGCTAAGCCCCCTTATGTGAACTTAGCCCCCGGATTTATTTTTGTATTAATGTAATTTTTGTAAAGAAAAAAATTACATTATGACTAGTAGGACTAAAACCCCCTCTATAGAAATTCCCTATTTGCGCCTATGATATCATATAACATAATAAGTTTATATTTATACAGGGTTAGACAAAAAAACCTCTCATATTTCAAAAATCAGTTACAAATAAACAAACAAAGATACAGAAAAAATTATTTTATTTTTGAATTACAAATACTATGCCATTTTTAGTATGGGTACATTTGAAGATTTTTGTGCAGGATTCTTCTTACATTCCTATTAGAAAGTCCCATGACAGCTGTATGTTTAACTGCTGAATGCCTTGGAGATTACTAGATGGACACCCTCACATATGTCATTTTAAATCACAGAACTACCATCATGAATACATATAATCCTTTTCGACAAATTGTGCCTACTAAAAATGGCACATACACCACTATTAATTGATATCCCCTTAATAGTCTTACCACCAACACAACTTACACAGTATTATCTCTAAATACGGAGGTTTTTGCCGGACCCAGATTATACATCACTATAGATTTAGTAGGTTATTATTTATCAATTTTTTTTAATAGCCAAACTTTAATAAAATGTATAAAACTAACCTATTGAAAAATTAAATTATTTAAAATTTTAATATATATAATTGTTTTACAATAATGTCATTAAAATTGTATTTAATAATTTCAAAACTCAAAAGCATGCCATTTAAATACTTAATTATGCAAGTACTAAGTATAAGTAACTGTAGGTTCATGGTTTAATACATATTCGCCAACCATCTAGAAAGTTTTTTAAACATTGTATAGTAAATAGGTACCTAACAGTATCAGCTGATCCACTCTCTCCGCCAACAGTTGAAAATCTTACAGCAACAGGAGTTTGTTTTCCGATGCTTGAAAATACATCAGCCTTACAGTATTTTGAAATATCGTGGGTTACTTCAAAGTAACCAAATGCACCTAAAATACATTTTATTTTTTGAAAATATAAATAATAATATAATATATTATTAAAAGTAATTCCAACCTCCTCCTTTTGCATGTACRACTCGTTCTGGAATACGTTCACGGTCAAAATGTGAAATTTCATCTAAAAGATTATGATCTTGTATAACCAGTGGTCCATTTAATCCAGCTTGAATTGAATTAGTATGATCATCAACTGGCGCACCATTCCCAGTTCTGATAACTCCAGTATTCTGAAACATTATAAAACCAATAACCATATTAGTCATTATTTATTAATGAATAAAATTTRATTTTCAAAGTAAAATTGAAAAAAACAAATATGTTGACAATCAATCTATTTACAGGGATTATTAATCAAATTATTTTTCTACAATCTTCAAAAATATAACTWTAATCATATTAACCTAACATTTTACAATTGTAAGAGTAGGAGTGTACTAAATGTAGGACTTCATTAAATTACTTGATACATTTGTTGACATATATCAAATATAGCAAAAGTATTATAAAACTTTAACTTCAAAGTAATCAAGTGTTAAGTTTCTATAAATTAAAAAAACCTGGTAACTATCGTTTTGATGTASACCWGTATATATGATTCCCGGACGAAAAGTCCGGTATGGAAATAGTTGGACAAAAAGTCCGGATTCATTGATTGCCGGACAAAAAGTYCGAACACATTTTTAGTGTCGGACAAAAAGTCCGAAAATACAAAATTGTCTATTCAATTTTCATTTATAATTATAATTTACCTTATATTATATWAWATTATATTGTATTTSGGTGGAAATGTTCCAATATAATTTCAAAAAAATGTCCGGGCATTTTAGTAACTTCCAAAGGTAAGCTTAAAATTTTTTTTAAATGTATATTTTATATTTTTAATAAAACACTTTTAAACATTTAATTAGATTATTAAATTCCAACAATTGAAGTTGAACATTCACATGCTGGTGATAAGAATCTAGAAACAATCGAAAAAGCCAAGTCTGATTTAAGACGTATAACTTTTTTTTWAAATATTATTATTATTATATTTGGATCAATTTTTGTATTGAAAATTTTTTAAAACATATAACTCATTTTAAATTATTATTTTCATTATAATTATTATCGATGTTTTATAATATGTTATCTTAAAAAACATAATCCAATGGATTTCTGTTGTATTTATGTTAGGTATAAGAAATAATAAGAATAAGAAAATATAAATATATATATAATATTATAATTACACAATTATGACAAATTAGACAATTTTGTATTTTCGGACTTTTTGACCGATTACCTGTATATATAGCCATATAAGGTTTCAATTTCAGTAGGTACCTTGTCATTGAATAAGTGAGTCATCGTTAATGGATGAGATAAATCTAAACTAAATGATAAATCATAGAAATTTGAAAGTAGGTATACCGAATACCGATTACGAAAATCAATTATCAATGGAGATTGTGGACAATGTGCCAATGTGCGAAGTGTCCAGCTTCTTACTTTTGAGAATATATCTATTTTTATATAATATTATAAATTMTAATAATATACTCGAAAATATTATAAAAACACTCACTCCAATATACAACCAAATATTTGTATCACTTATCGATTATTAGCATTCAAGATTCTAAACAAATTTACATTTAATAAGTGGAAATTCGAAGACGTTGTACCCCCGTAATATGTTGTTTTCGCCTTGTTAACATATTAATGTATAATATATTAAAATGTAAGCCCAGCAGTAAAAAGTATGTATTTTCACCTTAAATATTAGAGTGAACTGACTTATTATTATTGTAGGTATTATCAAATTTAAATGTAAGAACATTATCTGTATTGTTTTTTCGTTGATTTTTTACGATATTTTTTTTCAGCGAATTATGAGTATTTTGAAATATTAATATTTTACATACACAGAACTCACTTAAAAATTWAAATATCGTAAAAACCAACRAAAAAACAGAGATAATTTCCTTACTTTTAAGTTAAATAAAAGGCAAATTCACTCAATAGATATTTAAAATTAAGCTAACAAGATAAGTAAGAACATACAATTATTGTAACTACTGGACGTACATTTTGAGTATAATACGTTAGTAAGACCGATACCTATACATGGCACTGGTACGACACAACGCCCTCTCATGAGCTTAATTATGGCTTGGCCCTAAGTCTAGATTTCAATCGTGGATTGTTWTAGATTTTCAATAGATCCTAAAATAACTAAACAACGGAATTKAATTCAAAAATGTATTAATACTGTACGAGTCAAGTACCTAAGTATCATATGAATTATTACATCCCAATAATGAGTGGCTTCATTGAAAAAAACCTCATGACCTGTTAACTTTGATCTAATATTCTTATTGTGTATAGTATAATTTATACAGATTGTTTATTACTTGTAAAAAAAATAAATAATAAACATCCACACGAATCACAAATGTTATATAAAGGAAACAACAATTATTGTATAATCAAGGATTTCGAAATTTATACCTAGTACCTAGGTACCAGCTATCATTGTATAAATCATATTAGTGCCTATTAGGATTGCATATTGTATTTTGTAATGGTATTTACTTAGAAGATAGAACTAATTGATATTTATTGTAACAAAATTTCATAATTATTATATTTACTATTTAGTAACACATAATGTACTTATACTGTTACACAGGGCGATTTAGTATTCACCAACAGTATGGAATGGTTGTGTGCTCAAATTATAGATCCGTGATATTAAAATTATAAGATACCTATTATAATTTATAGAGGCTAAGAAGACTTGAAAATTATAATATCATAATACCATATTTTATAATATGTAAAACATTTCCTAGTAAAATAAATAGTTAAGTACTAAAATAATTGATTCAATATTACATTTATTTTATAGCATTATAAAATAACTTTTTTAGGACTATAATCTTTGATGAATATATTTTAATAACTACTCGTTTAAATTTTGATTTAGATACA